AGAGAGAGAGAGAGAGAGAGAGAGAGAGAGAGAGAGAGAGAGAGAGAGAGAGAGAGAGAGAGAGAGAGAGAGAGAGAGAGAGAGGGGATTGGAATAGAATGGAAACATGGTGACCAGTGGCGCTGGAGGCGTGAATATCGAAGTGCTTCATTTGCGGCAGATGGGCAAGGACTCCTTTTTTTTTTTCGTGGGTCTAAATGGCTGAAGGTCCATCTACGGTTAATGCTGTGGTAGATTCTTTGGCACTGTGATGGTAAGTGAATGGTAAGTTAGCGCTTGATCAGCCGAGGAAGGAAGCGGGCGTCGCTCCCTGATGTGGTTTTTCGTTAAGAGTTAACGGGAAGCGTCTGCTTGGGCGTTCCTCTTTGGTTTTTGTTAGGCCGTTCGGAAGAGCGAACTGCACCAAAAACTCAATCATCTTTTGGATTGCTAAGATTTTTGGGGGGCAGTTGTTTCGTTTGCTTTGTCAAATTCAGGCGTCACTACCCAATGTTGCTGTTTGTATGGGTTAACATTCTGTAACTATTTTTGGAATCTGGATAATTGTTTTATAGGATTATAAGACACAATTCTGTGTGTTACGATCCTGGTCATTTCCCAAGTGCAAATTCACAATGAAAGACAATGCCACCCAATTGCCAAAGAAATGAAAGCACTTGCAAAGAGATAAAGACCAGATGAGAGGTAAAGAAGAAGAAGAAGAAGAAGAAGAAGAAGAAGAAGAAGAAGAAGAAGTACACCAGCCAGACCAATGACAATTCCCCCTTCTCTCTCTCCACCTTCCTCCTCCTCCCTCACCTCACCAATCTTATTCTTCTCTCAATAATAATAATAACAATGAATGGATGAACCAGAATCAATATCTGAAGTTCCCTCTTACTGCTGACTCAACTCAACAACAACAACAACAACAACCAGTCCACCATAGCTATGGCTTCCCTCCTTCAGCCTCCTCTCTCATGCATAGGCTATGGCGGACTACTCCAAGCAGCTAGGGTGCTGTACTGATGTCCAAAGGACATCCCAAGCAGCTATGGTTCTGCGCTGATGCCCAAAGGACCACTCAAAGCAGCTATGCCGCTGCTGACTTGGTCCGCTATGCCTGACTCTGCCTCGAGCTTCCCTGGTGCCGCATTACCCCAACTGGGGCCTTCCAGATGCAGCGCCCAACAAGGTGATGAAGATGGTGTCTTCCATAGCCAGGTAAGTGCCCCGCCACTCTCCTACCATGCCCCCTTCTTCCTCCYYCTCAAGCTGGAGTGCTCGCCATAGCTAGGCTGAGCTCCAGCGGCCCTTAACCTCCAAGCAGCGCTGCACCAGACCAGCGCTGCGCTCCAGCAGCATGTCGCCAATCCTTGCACACCGCAAATGAGGAAGAGCTCTTTGCTCTTCCTGGAGGTATAGCGGCCTACCGGCCTCCTGGGCGGTGACTTCCTGGGCCGAGCGGCCTCCCAGCAACCGGTACCTCCTCCCTTTTGGAGGGAAACATCATTGCAGGCTCTGCTATCCTCCCTACAGGCCCTAGACCCGGGCTACTTGGACTAGTACCGGCCTACCGCTATCCTACCGCTACTGGGCCTCTAAAAATGCCAACTTTTTGTCTTCTTCTGCTCGGCCTCCAGTACGCGACACCCCTACCACTACTTGAGTGGTACCGGCCTACCTGCTACTTGAGTGTTTTTCCCCGTTGTTCTAAGTGTTGCGGGCCTACCCCCGCTACTTGAGAGTTTTCCCCCTGCAACCCTCAAAGTCACGGCCACAGGTAAGTACCGGCCTTGCGGGGCCCTTCAACCAACAAGTACCCTTGCGGGTCATACACACACTCAACCGACAAGCACTCAGACAGGCATGCAAACCAGCAGGCACGCACACACACAGACATGGAAATCACAGCAGAATGCGGGAATTTCAGCAAGGCATTCATTCCAGCGGCAAATCCCAGAAATCAGCACTGTTCTCAGTTTGTGTTTTTTGGCGGGTCATTACATTACCCCCCTCTCAAAGCGAGGTCCCTTCGAGCGAGTAACTCATTCAGAGTTGGCACAAAATGCATTATAAGAGTAAATCAGAAGGAGAGACTTGGTAAGTCCGTGAGGAGTCATGGTCGCAACAAATTTAGCAGTCTGTCCCTCAGCGATCTGTCGTTCATAAGCGTTCACAACACGGGGAGCACTCTTTAGCAGCTCTTTTCGGTCGATCCAGAAGAACTCAGTCAACGGGTGATAGAGGAAGTGAACCTTGTACTGTCTGTTCCTCCCTCTTCCCTCGTGAAACACGATTCTGTCTATCTCATGGCCGCTGTCGATAGGGCGAGGTATCATAGAATCTCGGAAGGAAAACGTCTCATCATGAATATGTGGAAACAGTTTGGACGCATGAAAGACCGGATACGTGCGCAGATGAGGAGGCACGTCAATCACATATGAAGGACCAAAATCATCCCCAACCACCTACAGAATCTGCCAAGGGCCATAGTACAATGGAAGGAGTTTTCGTGCTTGGGCGTTCCTCTTTGTTTTTTGTTAGGCCGTTCAGAAGAGCGAACTGCACCAAAAACTCAATCATCTTTTAAATTACTAAGATTTTTGGGGGGCAGTTGTTTGGTTTGCTTTGTCAAATTCAGGCGTCCTACCCAATGTTGCTGTTTGTATGGGTTAACATTCTGTAACTATTTTTGGAATCTGGATAATTGTTTTATAGGATTATAGGACACAATTTTGTGCTTGTTTTTGTGTGGTTAATCTTGAACCCTGTTTTTTTACTTCTTACTTTTACTGCAGCTTCACTTCACCTTTGTTTTTGGTCTTTCTTTTCGATGGAGTCTGGACTGTTTTCGTCGCCTTTCATTAGTGGCTAGAATCGTTAGATGCTTTAGAATTGTTTTCTACAGTCCTCTTGGGCTGCAGGGGTGGCCCTTCACCTGTAGTGGAAGGTGAAGGCCTTGCGACCCCTGTTTTGCTTTCTGTGCTATACTTAATGTATTTTGGCTCAGGGCACAGGGCCTTTAATGAATATACTTGGATTTTTTCAAAATTACTTAGATAAGTTTATCGTTGTGTACCTCGATGATATCCTCATCGTTAGTAAGATTGCAGAGGAGCATGCTGAGCACGTGAACACAGTGCTAGGTCTCCCAAGACAGCACCATTACAAGATTAACATGGAGAAATGCGAGTTTGGTAGCACCAAGATCTTGTACCTGGGTCATGAGACTTCAGCAAATGGGTTGAGGCCGGAAGATGCAAAGGTGGCTAGCATACGTGATTGGCCCAGACCTCAGACTGTTACTGAGGTCAGATCGTTCTTGGGGATGACAGCTTATCATCGTCCTTTAGTGAAAAACTATAGTAAGGTAGCCTCCCCAGTAACAGATCTAACTCGTCTCGACACCCCTTGGGAGTGGACTGAAGAGTGTGAGGCAAGGTTCAAAAAATTGAAGTATGCTCTAAGACACTATGAAGTTCTAAAGCTTCCAGATCCTAACAAGCCGTTTGTTGTGACCATAGACGTCAGCTAATATGGCATAGGCGCGGTCCTTGTGCAACAAAAGGGGCAAAAGTTGAAACCGGTCGAGTACATGAGTAAAAAGATAGCTTCTCAGAAGTTAGCTAAGTCAACATATGAGAGAGAGCTCTACGCCCTGTACAGAGCGCTAGTTCTCGAGAAGGCAGGGAATAAAAGACTATGTGTTGCTAATAGTGAGTCTTTGCG